TTTGAACCCAAGAGTTTGAGGCTGCACTGAACCATAATTGTGCCATGCACTCAAGGCTGGCAAAATGTCTCTAAAGCAAAATAATAATCAGTAAATAAATACAACTAGCCATCACTAGAGTTTCTCACATAGCCACCACCAGACTATTAAAGGCCACCAAAAATAGTTCAACAAAGTTAGCAGAGCCAGAAGAGTGCAGAAACTTCTATCAAAGATTAGACCAGCTCTAGAGAGAGTGGTGTTGGAGAGGGAAGGCTGTTAGTGGGGAAAAGGTGGAAAGGCAGAATCTGGAGTGTCCAGGAAGCTAGTGGCAGCAGGAAAGCACTAAGTATTCGACTTAACAATAAGGACTCATGGAATAGGCACATTCTTACAGATGTCCCCCTCTTCACACACTTTTTTCCCAACTGATTCTGCCCAAGGTTCTGAAACTGAAAGCTGACCGGTAAAGTATGGCGTGCAGCATTATATGTGTGAAGTGGCAGAAGTCTACCACCATTTCCCAGGTCTTCCTCTCTCCAAACATCTTTGTAGTTCAACTGTTTACCATTTCTACTTTTCTCTGAATAAGGAGCATGCCTAGATAGTTTTCAGTTATGATGTATTTTCTGAGCCAATTCTCTTGAGACTGGCTAATGATTCCTTAGCACAAATAATCAAGAAACTAGTGATAGGCATCTCTGAATAAGGGATTTACTCTTTAACGAGAAAATTCAGGTAGATCAAACTCTCCTCCTACCACGATCATCAATTTTCTCCCTTAAACCATTTAATGAAAAGAGTTCAGAAAAATATAAATCATCTGTTGTTTTTGGCAAAGTCATACCACAAGCTTGTGCCCACAGAGACTGGATGCTAACCATTTGTCTCCTTTGCTTTAGATGGGAGGCCCCACCCAGTGTCCAAGATCTGGCTTGAAGGCCTAAATCAGTAATAAAATTCCACACACATCCCCTAAAAGCTATAAAGGAATCATTCCAAGCTCACTTCCTTTTGAAGATTCCTTTGTGTAGTGCCCAAAGTGGTGTGAACCTTTCTGGTTGTAAAGTGGGAGGGTCAGCTCATGTTCAATTTCCTTACTCTATATTGCTGCTGTTTAATTGCTGACTCCCATTTTATAGCCAAGCCAATTAGTAGCCTTGGCCAAGTGTGAGAAGCTTGGAAGCCTGAAACATGGCACTCAGCTGAGCCTACAGAAAACAGAAAGCCTTTTCTGTCAGAATTTCCCTCATGAGAGACAGCTGGACCTGGCTACCAAATGTCAAAAGTCTAAAAGGTGGATGTTGCAGTTCAGTATGCAGTGTCCCTGGGCACATCGGCAAGCACCTGAATCCCTACTAGATTGAGTGACAGGACTGGTGGTCTGACACAGCTTAGGGAAATTTTAAAAAATGACTATTTCACTCCTCATCCAATTTAGTGAACAATATTACTCCCTTTTGTCTCTGACCAGCTTAATAACTAACTCCTTTGAGGGCTGTGACACTTTCTGATAATACTCTTGCTGTTAAAATGATGCTGGGTCAAAGGCCGTCAGTCTCACAGCCTTCTGTGTTACTGGTTTACTCCAGGCACTCTAAAAAAAGCCAAGACCAGGTTAACAGAGAATAAAATAAAAAAGAGAGTGAGGCCAGGTGAGGTGGCTCACGTCTGTAATCCCAACACTTTGGGGGGCTCAGATGGGTGGATCACCTGAGGTCAGGAGTTCAAGATCAGCCTGGCCAACATGGTGAAACCCCATCTCTACTAAAAATACAAAAAATTAGCCAGGTATGGTGGTGCACACCTGTAGTCCCAGTTACTCGGGAGACTGAGGCAGGAGAATTGCTTAAACCTGGGAGGTGGAGGTTGCAGTGAGCCAAGATTGTGCCATTGCTCTCCAGCCTGGGAGACAGAGCAAGACTTTCTCTCAAAAAAAAAAAAAAAAAAAGAAAAAAGAAAAAGAAAAAAGAGAGTGAACAATCTGAGCTTTACTATTTACATATTAAATACAAACAGGAATTTAGCCTCAGGCCTCCATATCTTTTTTATTCTTATTTATTATTATTATTATTTGAGACAGAGTCTCATTCCATCTCCCAGGCTGGAGTGCAGTGGCACAATCTTGGTTTATTGCAACCTCCACCTCGTGGGTTCAAGCAATTCTTGTGCCTCAGCCTCCTGATTTAGCTGGGATTATAGGCATGTACCACCACGCCCAGCTAGTTTCTGTAATTTTAGTAGAGACAGGGTTTCACCATGTTGGCCAGGCTGGTCTCGAATTCCTAGCCTCAAGCAATCCATCCACTTCGGTCTCCCAAAGTGCTGAGATTACAGGTGTGAGCCACCATACCCAGCCATTTTTTTTTTTAAGAGACAAGGTCTCACTGTCTTCCAGGCTGGAGTGTGGTGGTGTGATCATAGCTCATTGCAACCTCAAACTCCTGGGTTCCAGCGATCCTCCCACCTCTGCCTCCAAAGTGCTAGGATTACAGGCACATACTATATGCCCAGCTAATTTTTAAAAATTTTTTGTAGCAATGGGGTCTCCCTATGTTGCTCAGGCTGATCTTGAACTGGGCTCAAGCGATCCTCTTGCCTCAGCCTGCCAGAGTTCTGGGATTACTGCACCAGGCCTCAGATCTTGATTATAGGCTGATTAGTAACCCAGCCCATAAAGCCCCAGAATATAACAGCAAAAAGGCCAGGTGTGGTGTCTCATGCCTGTAATCCCAGCATTTTGGGAGGCTGAGGCAGGCAATCACTTGAGCCCAGGAGTTTGAGAAGAACCTGGGCGACATGGTGAAACTCCATCTCTACGAAAAACACAAAATATTAGCTAGGTATGGTAGTGCATGCCTGTAGTCCCAGCTACTTGGGAGGCTGAGATAGGAGGATGGCAGGAGCCTAGGAGGCAGAGGTTGCAGTGAGCTGATATCACACCACTGCACTCCAACCCAGGCAACAGAGTCAGACCCTGTCTCAAAAACATAAACCCCAAACCAGCAAAAAGGCCTTAAATAGCCAAGTCTGGTCGCCTGTAGTCCAGCTACTCAAGGGGTTGAGGTAGGTGGATCACTTGAGCCCAGGAGTTAAGAGACTAACCTGGGCAACATAGCAAGCCCTGTTTCTGAAAAAGAAAGAAAAAAGAAAATAAAAAAAAGGAAGGTCTTGAAAAAGGCTTTTCCAAAAATTTAGAATTTCTACCTCTTTTTAAAAAATGTTATCACAAAATATAACATTCATCCAAAAATTAAAATTCTGCTTTGGAGGAACTCAAAATTCATATAAGCCTGTCATTAATTCTCAGTACCTCTGTGAGGAGGTACTGACCTGCATTCAAGGTCAAATAATGTTTCTGTGCCAAGAAAGGAGTGCCCTGCTCAAGGCCTTAGGTGACAAAAGGTGAGCTCAAAATACTCCTGCCCATACCCCAGCCCTGCCTTTCAGCTCAACCCAGTTCCCCTTAAGGAAGAGCATTTCTGTTAAAGGCCAGCCCTGTTGTTTATTATAGCTTATATTTAGGGAAACACACTAACATTTTTCTTCCTGACAGTAAAGTCTGAAGCTCTCTACCAATGGGAAAATTTGTGGGGGTGGCAGGGGTGAATGAAAGCGGAAAATTTCCAAAAACTTTTGGCCTACTTAACTGCCCTGACAGCACATATTTTGTTTGGGAAAGGAGGGGGTGGACTGTTCTTTCCAAGGGAAGTATAATTAGTTGGCCGTTTCAAATACTATCAAAGAAATTTAGAAAATAGTTACTTTTCAGATTTTTTAATGTGGCCAAGATATCTGATTCCAGCAATTCTTAATATTAACAGTCTCCTGCAAAGCCCCTTAAAAATCACTATCATAATCTCTACCACTCAACAGGCACACGGGGTGAAAACCACTCTGGTCTTTTGCACACTTCGGGGCATCTTTTACAGAGAATGACTTCACTGATCTGACTGGAAATCCCGTTTCTCTAGGTCTCACCCTGGATTTGCCCTCCTTTGAGTGCTGCACTGGTTTCTATATTTATGCACAAACCAGCTGTAGCCACCTTCCTTTGCAATTCCCAAACCTGCCTTTTACTGTACGGGATCCCTGGAGGTCCATTTCTGTTTTCTGGAGTCAAAGTAATACAAAATAAATTTCACCACCTCCCAGAAAACAGACGTTGGTAAGTTTCAATATAAAATAGCCAGCTCTTGAACCCAGGAGACGAAGGTTGTTGCAGTGAGCCGAGATCTCTGCACTGCAATCCACCCTGGGTGACAGAGAGATTCTGTTTCAAAAACAAATAGACAGCTGTGTATTTTTTGGTCACAGCATCAATAAACTTCAGGGCTAGGAAAAATCATAAATCACCAAAGCATTCCTCTTCATATAACCAAAATACCTTTTTCCTGTTGTTCAGGAAATTAAGACAAAATGGCCAACTAACACTTATGCAGCCTTACACTGAGAAACTCAAAGAAGCTGGTAGGAAAGGACTAGAAATCTTTGATCTACAATTAACAAAGAGTATGGAACTCTTTTCAGCTCAACCAGTGCCCCATATGGATGTTCTGGATGCTGATTCTCCTTTAATAACTTCCCCCTATTAAATCTCCTACCAGTCATTTGAGGTTTGGATTTCACCCTAGAGATAAGAGGTGTTTGTAAGACACTCTGAAACCTCGGAAGGGCAAAGTGTTGTGGACTTATAACCTTCCTGAATACTGAGGGAGGCATAGCTTTCAACAAGTTATTCAATCCAATCAAATGAGATACTCGAAAATGAGCTGCTCTTGGGTGAGTCCTTTCATAAGAAGGAATTTTTTAAAAATCTGCTAACATAATTACTCCACAAAGTTTACATGTATCATATTTTATAAATCTATAAATATATATAATTTTTGTTAATTAAATTTTTTAAAATCTGCCAACAATGGCTGGAGAAGGCACCCGGCTGCCTGAGCCCCTACCCTTGTCGGTTACAAGTATTTCATAAGCAGGGTTCGAGGAATCCCATCAGAGAAGAGTGTCCTCACCTCTTTGCCGGAATGTCACACCAACTTCCTCCTCACCTCTTTGCCGGAATGTCACACCAACTTCCTCAGCGTTCCTCCTACCCCAATCTAGCCAACGTTTCAATGGCTCACCACAACACACAGTGCCTCTCAGCTGGGCACTCAAGAGTTCTTTCCTAACCCTCCCTAACCTAATTATCCAAACTTTTTTCCCCAAAACAGCCCAGCACATGGTCCAGTCAGTCCCCAAATCGTTTTTCCTCATGGTCCCCTTCCCCAGGGGGCGTCCCCTCCTTCTCTCCCCCTGCAATCCCCGCCGCTACCAGGAGATTAGTCTCCACCCGTCAGGACCCCGCTCAGCTTTCACCTCCTCCAACAGGTCGGCTCAGATCCCAATCCACGGCTCTCAATAGCAGCCAGGATTCCTTTCCCCGGCAAACAACGCCTTCTCTGAACACCCCGGCCGCCTAGCGCCGGCTTCGCGTTCCCTAGTTACTTCCAGTCACCCCCGCCCCACTCCCACCCGCGGGGCTTGCGACCAGCCCTCTGCCTCCGGGTGGCCCAGCTCGGAACACGCAGAGCAGCGCCTCAGAAATCGCAGCCCAAGGCGAGGAAATCCAGAAGCCTCCCGCGGACGTCCCCCGGGACAGGGTGTGGCGGGCCCGGCTCAGAGCCCGCCGACTCCTCGTGAGGAGAGAACCGCAGCGACGCGGAGCCCCTGTGAGTCCACCGCCCGGACGCGCGGCGCAGCGACCGGGAGCCCCAGAGTAGCCGCGGGGTGCCGGAAGGAGTCCAGCCAGCGGCAGCCGTTTCCGTGCCTCCCTGCCCCTCCTGAGGGGCTGCGCGAGCCCCTGCCTGAGCCTGGCCCGCCCGGGTGACCGCCAGTTCTCCGGGCGCTCTCCGGGGAGCTCCGGGGCGCACACATCCCGAGACGCACCCTTTCCGCGCCTGTTCCCCCTACTGGTCCCCAGCTGGGCCGGATCAGGTACGCCGCGTCTCACCTCTCCTCTCCACGAACCAACTGGATAACGGTCGGGTCTGGGCCTGAGGAACCCGGACCAGCCGGCAGTAGACTCCCTGCACCTGTCTCGGAGCGATTGAGGAGCTGCCGCGCGCCTGACGTCACGGCCGCCCCAAGCGCAGCGAACTGGGAGTCACCTGATCACCCTGGCAACGCGCGCGGGGCGGGGCAGGGCGAGGCGAGGCAAGGCGGGCGTCACAGCACGAGCCCCGCCCCCAGCCGCTCCGCCTCCAAGCGCCGCCGGAAGCTCTGTGCGGCAGTCTGCGCTGCTGGGACGCGAGGTGCGGCGTCTGGCTTCCCAACGCGGGCCTCCCAGCTGCGATGGATACTTGGGACTCCCACAGGCGTCCCCTTAGGTTGCATCGGTTCTCCAAGACTCCACGCGATGCCCCCACGCCGCTAGTGCAGGTGCCTGGGAGGCAGGACCAGCGTCCATACGGGACCCTGCCCAGTACGTGTCAAGAGGGGTTAGCTGTGGGCTGCTGCCTCCTCGTATCTTGTTGATCCAGACCCAACTAGGTTTGAGGCTTACTTCCCGAGCTGTACCTGAGAGGACTGAGGCTGAGGCTGATAACTGGATTGCTCTGTGGCAACTTTTCCCCATAAACCTTGCAACAAGTAGTCCCGCCAGTACTTTAGAGTGTAATGAGACTTCATTCACATCAGGAGGGGGAAGGGGGACAGAACCTTCTGTCCTGAAGGTTTCCTTCTATTCCAACAGGAAGAGAAGTCACCGAAAAGCTCCCAGAGCAAGGCCTAGAACAAGCTTGCAAGTCCTAGTTGCTAACACATTTTTATTTTTCATATTACAAATTGATTTTCTCTCCAGATTCCTCCCCTTTGCTTGCTATTAGGTTGGTGCAAAAGTAATTGTGGTTTTTGCAATTTTTTTAAAAAGGCAAAAACAGCAATTACTTTTGCACCATGCTAATATAATGATATGCTTACACCTTTGTGACCCTCTAGTCTTCCCAGATGGACCATCCACTTTGAAATTAACATCACCTGGAGGTCTCAGTGTGAGAGTCACTGCCTATTTCATACCTTTACTACTTGCTGAGTTTCATTTCAGTTTTACTCTCCTCATCCCTGCACTGTTAAGAAGGTTTCATATGTATTGCCACCTTCCCTCTCAGAGTATAGGATCTTAGACCAAGAAGTTAGTTGATAATCAATTTCTTGTGAGCATCTTTTAGTGTCAGGCAATGGGCCATGGGCAGATTGATTGAGATGTGGTCCTCGAAAATCAAATGTGTATGAGTGGTACCTCTCACATTCAAGTACAACTTGTACTGTTTATTATGACTTAATCATAGTATTTAAGTGGCACTTTTAAATTTTTATACTTAGAAAAAAATGAAACTCATATAAATGGGAAAGACCACTGTGAAAGGTACAGAAGAATCATGGCTCTAGATAGAGCTGTACTAACAGGAGAGAAGAGATTGAAAATGTGAGCCCAGGTCCTAAGGAGCAAAGAAGCATGGTCTGGAGGTTGGTGGGAACAGGACAGAGGCAGCCAGGCCTAAGGTGTTTGGCAGATCTGAGGAGGGCAGGGATAGAGGGTGAGGGGAGGAGTTAGGCCAGAATGAGGCTTGAGGGATTCAATGGAGGGGGAAAGTGCTGGGAAGGGAGGAGGGATTGGAAAGAAAGAAGAAGTAGGCAGTGGTTTGGGAAGGGGTTGCTGAAAGGGAGGGCAGGGTAAATAGAGAACCAGGAAAGGGTGTTAAGAGCATTAAGAGAAGGGAGGCTGAGAGGCTACAAAAGGAACTGAGGGGGAGGAAGAAGCAGGTGGGAGACTCTTGGGCAGCAAACATCTCAGAGCCAGGCAGTAGGTGGTGTCCTTCAGAGGCTGTTGGAGAAGAGCAGCATTGTTTGTTCGCCTCTGCAGAGTGAAGGTGATCCATGCACATCCCATACTATCTTTGGACTGTCTGAGGGCAAGAGCCACCCTTTGCAGAGCACTAGTGCAGAGGGAAGAGCAGAAAGAGGCACGTCCACAACTACACCTTGATAGGACTCATCAAGACAGTCAGGTTTCTTGGCTGGATGGGTTTTCAGGCCTATAGAACATGCCTCCGTGCCTCTAATCTGGGCAGGGCAAGGTGAGGATGGAGTGGAAGGCAAGGGTAATTCCCTTAGAAGGGAGGAAGCTTCTCACGGCAGCTGGGACATATGGAGGCTGTGCTGAGGGAGAAAAGATACTAGGACACATTCTCAGTAAGGTCCCTGACCACTCCCCTTTTACTGAGTTGGTAGGGTCACAGCATAACCATTGAAGGAAAAATAGAACATTCCTCACCCCCACCCCCACATCCATGCTGAGCAAAGTGTTATCATGTGGGTAAAAATTTAAGGAGTGTTGCGGGCAGCATCCAAGAACACAGATGTGGCCAGGGAATGCATCTCACATGGCTCTTTTCTAGGATTTTGACCTCGGGTCCCAGGACTAAGCCCTAAGGCAGATGTAGAAGTTGCTGGAGTTTCATCAAGTGTCTTCACAATAGCAGTGCGGGTTTCCATTCCTGGAAATAAAATAAAAATGTCAGGGTACAAGGCCCTGACCAAGCATATTTGCAGTGAAAGTCCACTAGTCACAGAAGTTGCAATCAATTTTCAATATGTGTTCATCCGAAAGAACCATCCAAGGATTGTGGAGGCAGCATGGTGCAGTGGTTGGGAGCCTGTGTTCTGAGATTTATCCATTTTGTGAACTTGGCCACATTACTCACCTTCTTTGGGCCTCCGCCTTATCGTAAAATACGGATAATACCTACCTCACAAAACTATCATAAACTTTAGGTGAATTCCAGGGCAAAGAAACAGAACCCAGATTCATAATATTTTTTAAACGGCCATTTTTTAAACCATTGTATTTTTATTGGACCACATTTGTTCTCTGAACAATTGGATGAAAGAATGTTTCTTGAATGCCTAATGTACACTTAACACTGATGGATACAGAAGGAGCATGCACCCTGGCTTGGTCAGGCATCTGAAATCTGATAGAAAGATGAGACAATGTGAGACCTTGCCAGGCTGCTGTGAAATTGAATGGTAAACTATATCATGTCCTTCCATGCCCTCAGCATTCATGAAAAGAGGGGCCATGCCAGCTGCATTGGCTAAGGTAGGATGCATGAAAGGAAGGGACTGGAGCAGAGCCTTGAAAGATAGGCAGGATTGGCCGGGCGCAGTGGCTCATACCTTTAATCCCAGCACTTTGGAAGGTCAAGGCAGGTGCATCACTTGAGGTCAGGTGTTCAAGACCAGCCTGGCCAACATGGCAAAAACTCATCTTTACTAAAAATACAAAAATTAGCTGGGCATTGTGCATACCTGTAATTCCAGCTGCTCAGGAGGCTGAGGCAAGAGAACTGCTTGAACCCAGGAGGCGGAGGTTGCAGTGAGCCAAGATTGCACCACTTCACTCCAGCCTGAGGTGTTTGGCAGATCTGAGGAGGGCAGGGATAGAGAGTGAGACTCCATCTCAGAAAAAAAAAAAAAAAAAAAAGCAAAAAGATAGGCAGGATTTGGAGAGGTGGTAGGTGAAGAGACCATTCTGGGTCAGGGCAGTGATCTGAGCACCTGGGGCAGGGGCTCAGTAAATATTTAGCAGCTGGATGAATGAATGAATGAATGAATGAGCAAAGATAATAAATTATCAGCATAGTGTAAGATTAGCCTGATGGATGCTTTGTTGAATGAATGAATGCATGATTAAACAAAAAAGCAAAGACACTGAAATTAGAGAATGGTGGACATAGCCGTAAGACCAGCCTGACTGAATTGTGAAAATTGGGGAGTTGTGGAAAATAAGGTAGAGGTGGAGCAGAAAGTGGAAGAGCTTTTGAGACAGTAGAATCTTCTAGGAGGAGCATGGAGTCTGGATCCAGAGGGAGCATTTGGACTCTATCACAACATATTGACCATGTGACTTTGAGTGAGTTACTTAATCTCTCTGTGCATTAGTTTCCTTGTCCAAAAAATATAGGAATAAATTGATATCTGCTTTATAGTGTCATTTTGAAGATGAACTAAGAAACCTATGAAATGTAAGCATGGTGCCTGGCACATTGTAAGTACCTTAAACTGTTAGCTTTTTTTATTATTATTATTAGTTTTATTAAGGACTGAGCAGATGGGAATAGATTCAATATGAAATCTTAGGGAACCACTGAAGTTTCTTGAAGTGGGAAATAAGAATGGAATGCAGTGTTTGGGAAGAATCACTTGGTTTTCAGGCTGGGTCGGAAGGCAACGGTACAGCCCCAAAGTGTGAAGAAGGGCTGCTCAGGGACTAGAAGGAGCCCCTCCTGAAAATGAGACAGCCTGTCCACTTGCTGGTACATGTCTGAAAGTGGGAGCCTGGCATCCACAGGCCCTCAGTGATCCTATTGAATGAAAATCTACTGCACCAATTGAACAATATAATTTTGGAGCTCACAGGCTCAATGGCCAATACTATCAGAATTCTCCCTCAGCCAAGTATAGAGAGTTTTAAAGCACTGGAGAAGTTCACTAAGACTTGGCCTCTGGTTTATTTCAATTTCTCCTCCCCCATGTAGCTGGTGTGTTTTTGTTTTGTTTTTGTAGAGACAAGTGTCACCATGTTGCCCAGGCTGGTCTTGAACTCCTGGGCTCAAATAATCCACCCACCTCAGCCTCTCAAAGTGCTGGGATTACAGGCATGAACACAGCCCTTTTGCCTCTTCTTTTTCTGATCTATGTTTTCAAATTCCAGTTTGCTAGTCAGGAATTTCTCCATTTTAAGTTCTGAAACACTATTCAAATCAGCTTAAAGAAAGAGGGATAGTGTATTGGCTCATGAAGCCAAAAATCCAGATGAATCTCATCTTGAGGTATAGCTGG